ACTTGAAAATGAATTAACAGGTGAAAGCACTGCCATGTAAAACTGAGCAAACATGTTTTTTTTGCTGGAGCCACAATGTCATCGCAGCGGGATGAACCATGAGCTCACTGCAATTGCAGCAAGACCACTCAACGTGTGACAGGCTGTTGACTTAATCTCAAGGCTGCCACATTGGTCAATCTATTTTCCTGCGGGATTCAATCACAAGCCTGGTCTGTTGCCTGGCATGAGTGAGACGGGAGGTGTCCGAATAAGGATTCAGCCGCTTGCCCACCAGCTGCCAAACGGACCGGGACCAATATGTCAAAGAGAGATGTCTTCAGGTGTTTGAAAACCAAGCGGGCTTCCGGATTGATCAACGGCGAATCGGCTATGATCCAATGTGACACCATCTCGAGGGCTGCAGCCAGCTGAAATGCTAAAAGGTGTGCTTGTGCTTGTGGCAGAGACAGGACCCAAGTGATGACCGAGCATGGAGAAGACCTCGTTGGCACCCAATGGGCCGGTGAGAGATCCCCTGCATCTGGGTCACCTGCCGCCAAGGTATGTCCAGCAACGGAGCATAGCACAGCCAGCAAGGAATGGTTATATATTGAGACCCCACTCCAAGCATGAGCGCTGCAACACCTGGCAGGGCCACTTCAAGTTGGTCCTTGTGAGCTTGAACCCGGGACCACTCTTCAACAAAAGGCAGCGCAGCAAGCACCATGTCGTTCAGTTTGCGGAAGTCACACATGGGTGGAGTGTCCAGCGGGAATGACACTACACTGTGCTGTGAGCCGGCAACAGGTCCTCCAGCGAGAGGGAGAAGCTAGATCTCACAGTGAGTACTACACCCAGTATGTGGACGACCTCCATGCTTGGTTGGACAAGTCCTCCGCTCCTCTTTGGGCATCGTTGATTGTTGTCCTACTGCTCATTTTGGGGGTGCCCATGTCATGGCGCAAGTTTCCTCCTGGACTATCGAAGTCCCTTTTGAGAAACTAGAGCGCATCATAGCTCAAATTAGGACCATCCAAAGATCTACGCGCCTCACACTGCGTGATTTGCAGTCTCTTGTGGGACGTCTTTTGTGGTTGACTTCGGCATGGCGTCATTTACGTCCACTCCTTTTACCACTGTACAAGGCCCTGCGTCGTTCCCTATCAGTCACCTTCCAAACTCTGACGGCACAATTGGATGACCATTTACAGCTACGTACACAGTTGACTCACAAACACCAGTCACTCGTCGTGTTTGGGTGGGCATCTCGGATCCCTCCACCCCAAACCGCAAACTGGATGACGAAGCAGCTGAAACACTGAAAATCTGGCTACAATTGCTGGTCTCTACGCCATTTTCACTGTCGATGTGCCCTTCAGATTGGATACAAGTCCACGCTACAGCTGACGCAATGGCATCACAATCTATGGCAGGATTGGGGGGAGCAGCCATCTTTCCTGATGGTTCTTCCACTTGGTTCCAGTTTCGCATATCACTGGCTGAAGCGCAATCGCTATGGCCATGGCTGGGTGACGACATGCAAAAACACATTGCAGCATGGGAACTGCTTGCACAGTTCGCGCTATCATTCTGCATTGACGCCCACTTGCCTCGCACCCGTGGCCCGATTGCATGTCATCAAGCCACCGACAATAGTGCGGCCGATGCTGCTTCTGCCAAAGGCCTCACAATGATGACTCCGGCCCTGGCAGCGGTGCTGACTCCGTATTTCAAGTTTATGCGACGATATCAAGTCTATCCCCACATCACTCACATCCCTGGCAGACTTAACGTGCTGGCAGACGAATTGAGTCGCTTCAAAGAAACACTCTCCACTGCACTGAACCCAGCGTCACAGAGGACTATCCCGTGGATGGAGTTGCTGCATTCTTTCGGCATTGAGATTGCCCAGGTTGGTCGAAAGTGGCCTTCCCAATTTGACATTCATCTGCGAGAAAAAGGTCGGCTACAGTCCGCTGACTGGGTGCTTCCATCGATTAGTTTTTGGGGAGTTCTCACTCCGGCTGGTCGATGGTCGATATGTTTGGTGCTGTTAGAACTCCCCACCTCTATGGTTGACCCCAACATATCCCGGTGATTGGGTTGTTGACTGGTGTCAATTTAAAGGGGGGTTTGTATCTTCGGTCTTGCTGTACTTAATTTGGACCCGCTGGTTCTAAAACACTGTGTGCAGAATGGACCTATTTCGCACCACGCTTCAAACAGAATGCACCTGCGCAGCACGTGTAGGACGTCAAATGTACTATACCATACTAGGGTTGTGAAGTGCTATCCAGGGAACCGTTGGAAGTGGTCAAAACAATTATTTAGTAAAAAAACTGTAAAAAAAAATTGTACCAGAACCTGTGCCCAAACAAAATCTGTAAAAAACAATTGTACCAGAACCTGTGCCCAAACAAAAACTGTAAAACAAAATGTACCAGAACCTGTGCCCAAACCTACCGCAAAAGGTTGCCAACTCAGGAAGCCTAAGACTCTGGCAGATATGCTGTGCATCCTTCATCCATGCTGAAAGCCGTTCTCTGTTTTGCAGTTTTTAAGTCTGAGTTGTTTAAGTTTGTTTTTAAGTTGTTTACGTGTAGGTAGGCATACGTATTAGCGACCAAGGAGTGGGTATGTATGTTACGCGTAATGTAGCACGAGGAGTTCAAGGTTGTCTATAATTTGACGATCTGGTTAGGTACCCGCATGTTGTCAATTTTTTTGATCACGTTTTTCTCACATACACTCTTTTCATTTGTTTCTTCCTTATTTTTCCAGGTACATTTTTTTCACTATTTGTTTCACTATTCTTTTTCCAGGTACATTTTTTTCACTATTTATTTTCACCCCTCTTTTTCCAGGTACATTTTTTTCACACTCTTTTTCACTATTTTTTTCCGGGTACACATTTTTCACATTTTTATTTCACTCTTTTTCTCCAGGTACACTTTTTTCACACATTTTTTTTCACTATTTTTTTCCAGATACATTTTTTTTTTCAGCTTTCAAAAACGTAAAAAAAATGTACCCTTACAAGGAAAACAGACAAAATTAGTAAACAAAATGCATTTTCCTCGTAAGGGTACACGTTTTTTATTTTTTTTTCTATTTTTCAGATTTCAAAAGTGTAAAAAAAATGTACCCTTACGAGGAAAATGCATTTTTTTTACTAATTTTGAATGTTTTCCTCGTAAGGGTACACTTTTTTTACTCTTTTTTACAATTTTTCAGATTTCAAAAGAGTAAAAAAAATGTACCCTACGAGGAAAATGCACTTTTTTTACTAATTTTGACTGTTTTCCTCGTAGACTTTTTTTTTCTATTTTTCAGATTTCAAAAGTGCAAAAAAAATGTACCCTTACGAGGAAAATGCATTTTTTTTACTAATTTTGACTGTTTTCCTCGTAAGGGTACACTTTTTTTACTCTTTTCTACTATTTTTCAGATTTCAAAAGTGTAAACAAAGTGTACCCTTACAAGGAAAATGCACTTGTTTTACTAATTTTGACTGTTTTCCTCGTAAGGGCACACCTTCTTTACTTTTTTTTACTATTTTTCAGATTTCAAGAGTAAAAAAAATGTACCCTTACGAGGAAAATGTTTTTTTTCTATTTTTCAGATTTCAAAAGTGTAAAAAAAGTGTACCCTTACGAGGAAAATGCATTTTTTTAAAAACTAATTTTGACTGTTTTCCTCGTAAGGGTACATTTTTTTTACTTTTTTTTACTATTTTTCAGATTTCAAATGTGTAAAAAAGTGTACCCTTACGAGGAAAATGCATTTTTTTAACTAATTTTGACTGTTTTGCTCGTAAGGGTACATTTTTTTCACATTTTTTTACAATTTTTCAGATTTCAAAAGAGTAAAAAAAGTGTACCCTTACGAGGATAATACATTTTTTTTACTAATTTTGACTGTTTTCCTCGTAAGGGTACACTTTTTTTTGACTCTTTTGAAGTCTGAAAAAAAAATGTATCTGGAAAAAATAGTGAAAAAAATGTACCCGGAGAAAAAATAGTGAAAAAAATGTGAAAAACGTGTACCTGGAAAAAAATAGTGAAAAAAAATGTGAAAAAAATGTACCCGGAAAAAAATAGTGAAAAACATAGTGAAAAAAAGTGTGAAAAAAGTGCCTGGAAAAAGAGTAGTGAAAATAAATAGTGAAAAAAGTGTACCTGGAAAAAGAATAGGGAAACAAATAGTGAAAAAAGTGTACATGGAAAACAAATAGTGAAACAAATAGTGGAAGAAGTGCACCGGGGAAAACATAGTGAAAACAGTGTACCTGGAAAAAAAGTGAATTTCACCTGTGCCATTGTGAGTTGCGCGGGTGACATGTGCTACTCTTTACGTCCTGGGTAACTGGAATGCCAGTTGATGCGTGTTACCATGCAAAGGCCAGCAGAATTCCAGTAAGACCCTTTCTTCTCTTTGTTTGTGCAGTTCTACTTCCCTGGCATTTTCCCTACTCACACAAGTCACTTTTTTTTTTTTACTATTTGTTTCCAGGTGCAGTTCCAGTCACACATTTTTTTTACAGTTTTTTGCACTATTTATTTCCAGGTACACTTCAAGTCACAATTTTTGTTTACAGTTTTTTTACAAATTAATTATTTTATGGTTTCCAGAGGTTGGCTAAAATCCCCCTTCACAATACTAGGGAAACTGAAGCAACGGAAACTGTAGTGTGAACTGTCAGGTTTAACTGAAGTGTTTTTTTGCACGTACGATGCACTCCACATCAGTAATTCGACAAGATATTTCTGAGCAAGTATGTGTCGGATGCAAACCAGAAACAAAACTGGTGCCCAACTTATTTTTCTTGTAGGCAATTTAAGTTGAAACTTCGATGCGTATTTTCATTTTTGCTGGTGGAAGATGATTGAATTGCGTGTGGCGTGGTTCAAGTTGTTTCCTATATCCAAAAAACATGTTCTGCAATGCATTGTGAAAAATCACCGTTGATGTATTTTTGCATTGGAACACATCCTTTCTAATTTTTTTTTCGTTGTTTTTGGGAATTGTTCCTGGCATCAGTGCAACAATCTGTGTTGAAATCCAATGGCCGCTCTGAGATGATGCAGAACGTCGCCAGGTTGTTCGGACATGTCTTTCATATCAAAAGTTGCGACAACCGTGTTTGTTTCAAGACCGCAAGTTTCTGAATTCACCTTCGACATGCTCTGTGATTTCTACGAAAATCAATTGACAGGTGACCCCAGGGGGGGCAAAGATGGATGATGATCCAGCCGAAGTTCGTGTCGAGGTGAATTTTTTATTGACAATCTTCGAAAAACGGCCACTTCTAAACTCACAGCATCTAGTTTCGAATGCTGCAGGTTGAACCAAGGCCCAAGGAAAAAAAGGAAAAAGACAAAAAGGCCGATCGTCTGTGGTGTTGTCGCGCAGTGCTCGTGCTGCTCTTGGGTTGGTGTTGGTATTCCTGGCAGTCAGGAGAAAAAAGACAAAAAGGAAAAAAAAGACAGAAAGGCTGGCATCAACGCATTGGGGGAGGATGTTCCAATCACCTTCCATGTGTTGATGATTTGTGAATTTCAATGGTATTGCCGTAATGCAACTCAGGATGAGAGCAAGAACATGTTGTGCCATCTGATTGCAGGAACTGGTGTCTGAAGTGGTGTTCTCGGTGGTTCATTTCAGCTGATAGTTGACATTTCACTCCTTGATCGTTGAAAGGAAGCATCCATGTCCGGCTAATGCAGTGAACTTAGGATGGGAATGGGGATGCTCTAGATGCGGATGCCTCTGGAAGCAAGGAGGACAAGAAGAACAAAAAATCCAAAAAAGAGAAGAAAGAAGGAAAGGGGAAGGCAGAAAAACAAACAGAGGAAGGAGGAGAAACAGACATTCTTGATCCAGTTGCAAGTGATGCCGAACAAGAAACAAGGAGGTCTGTTGGCTCAATCTTCGCGAGTGAGGATTTTGGCGGTGCAGCCTTGGTTGTCATCGAGGAAAGTCCGAATGACGATGCCCTTTCTCCACAGGGTGAACAGGCCATAGACGAGGAGCTCTCGCCAGGTGCTCTGCTGGACACCGATGGGGATGGTTTTGAGAAAAAAAACAAAAAAGAAAAGAAACACAAAAAAGAGAAGAAAGAGAAGAAACGGAAAAAAAGTGACATTGTCGAAGCAGAAGAGCATGGCAGAGAAATGCCAAGTCCTGATGAGCCAAAGAACGGAGCTGACGTTGGCAACGGTGAAATGGGCGAAGCAGATCCCTTCATGGACCAAACCGGTGGCTTGGCTCCAGAGGACATTGAGGAAATTGCTCTTCGAGGTCGGGACCAATTCAGCGATAGTCATGACCCATCAGACCCCAGACCCCACTGTGACTATGCGTCAGAGGCCCAATCAAACTGGGTGCGGGCGATGATCTCAACATCCCTGAGAGAGACCGAAACTCGGTGACCACTTTGCAGCTCTTGCGACTCTTGATGTGTAGTAGTGATGCATGCCGTGGTTGAAAATGAAAATTATTTTGTATGGAACTGCAGGCCAATCATCACACGAAATCTGCGATTTTATGGCAAGGTCAACCCGATGCCCAAGCGACTTACACTAACTGGCAAAGAGACAGTGCGAAAATGCACGAGGCCGGGTCCTCCTCTTGCAACAATATTCAGTTGCATTGTGAGTTGTGATTGGGGCCAATGGTGTTGTAACATGTTGTAACCGTGTTGTAACCCCGCTTGACCACATGACCACACAACTTAATCTTTTCAGGGTGAGCACAGTCAGTGAGCACTGCCAGGTGCGACCTCCTATGGGATGGCCGACTGAGCACGTGCCCCGAATGTCGCTCTCCCTTGATGGATAGCACCTTGAAGGTAGCGAAGAAAATTGCATGATTTGCAGCAGTCAAAATTAGCGAGGCTTGTAGCAATGCTCTGTGGGTCCTGCACAGTTTGCGTTGAAGGACGTTGAAGGAATCGTTCTGGTTCGCAGGTGAGTGAGCTGCTTTCGCCCAGCCAGTCCTCAGCTTACAGACTTTTGTCCGACTCAGCTTTCATCAGAAACATATTTCTCAGTTGCGCAGTCCATTTCCTTCGTGCAATGATAACCCTCAGCACTTGAATCGAAAAAAGACAACCCCTTTGGGATGCCTTGCACCACCGACCCATAACATGACCCCGAACGTACGGTTCAAGACCGTTCAAAAAGGTGGAGGGGTGCATCTTCCAAAATGTTTGCTAACACTCTAACAGGCTAGCTGTATCATGTACAGTCTGCCTGTGAGGCGAGACTTTTTAAAGCAGGCCTTCATGCGCTATGACGTTGATCGATCTGGACGATTAGATGGCAAGGAGAGATGGCATCAGTGTAGTCTTGTGTGCATTCTTCAGAGATCCAGGAAGGCAATTTGAAATGAACAATCCAGCCATGCCCCACAACCGGTTCAATGCTCGAAACATCTTCAGACCAAAGAAGGGTCATTGTAACGGGGCGAAGCGAACGCAAAGGTGCAATTCTGAATGTCAAATCAACAAAGTTCTATAGTATTCTATGGGATTTTGGGGCTTATGCAGGGGTAGAGCATGAGTTACCTGTGATTTAAGTTACTTCGACATGTTTCGCCTAGAATCGAAGCATAATAAGGATTGAACTATATATCATGCTGCATGCTATACTAATTTGGCACAAGTTACCTGTGATGTAGAGCCCGCCAAGTACGGATTGGTATTGAGTCATGCCCAGACGGTTTCTTGTTAAACTAGAGTCTTACAGAATTGGTTTGAGAACAATTCTTGTAGATTGTTGTAGTTCTAGAGATTATTTTTGAGGCGTCTTGGAACAGGGGATGAGGAAAAGTCAGCTGGCGGAAGGTAAAGACTCGGATACAACTTGACGGTTTGAGCGAGATAGGAACACTTCGCACGGGTTAAGTAGCTTGGACTACCAGTGAAGTTCTGTTTAAGGGCCGAACAGGAATGTGGAATAATTAGTGCTACGGACTCCCGTTCTATGCACGAAGGAGTTGCGAATGGCTGTCCGCGAGCTTGGATGGGTGATTTCCTCAGATCATCTCAGATCGTGTCCCAGCAGAGATTTGCCTTTGGAGATTTGGAAGATCAATTGATCATGTGAATCATGTTGATGATCAACCGAATCAACCAATGGACCAAGTGGCATTTTTTTGGAGCTTCGCATCCTTCACCAAGGACTCTAAGCAGGAAGTTCTGGACAAGTGGGCACGTCCTGGCTTCAGTTTGCCACGTCCTCCAGGCTGCGATGAGATTCCAAGATCCAAGAGATCCAAGGATTGGGAGGACTGCAGGGCCTCAACTTAGAGGAGTTTGAAAATCTGATTGACGCTCGGCAGAATTCTTGGCCACTTTCGGATACTTTACTCTCAAAGAAACACTTGAAATATCTTGAAATCAAGAGCCCTGGCTCAGAGCTCTTGATTCTTCAGTGGAAACGTGATATTTATAATGAGCATCACATGGTTGCAGGGCAATGCCTTTATCACGAAAGCTAGCGGTAGCTGGAGTTTCTTCTTGCTGCAACGAACCCCCCCTCACCTCCTCCCCCATCCCCCCTCCCCTCAATACATCTCGCACAATTACAAGCCAATACCACAGGATGACACAAACTAAGCCGCGCAGCATGTAGTGTAATTGCAAAACTACGTTGGCTTAGGCCACACGAACCACCCCCTTAGGCCAAGACGCCTCGGCGTATTGTATAGTTCTACTTAACCATCATGCATATCACACAATTACACATCCCATCATCAATCAATTAATATCGTGTTTCACGAGCGTATTAAACATATTTAAGCACCAGTAATCACTCGCGACAGCAGCTCAGTCCGTACTTTGGCTCAAAAACTGCATACAACCCAACTCATTCTCAAATTTGAGTTTTCATTCGATTTCCCCCCTCGGTATGCAACATTGACTATAACCATTACAGACCTCAAACTGTTAGTCATTGAGACACGACATACGCGAAGTTCTATGACATTCGATAAGTTTTCATCTCGTTCTCACATAGTCTTGAGGTAGTCGCTCTTATCCGACACCAAAATTCATAGATATTTTTCCCCAAACAGTGTACTGTTAGGGGTTCTTAATGCTTTCTAAGGTGTCCGCCTTGGTGTTGGATGGTGTGTCCGCCTTCCCGAGGGTCTTGTCTCCCACTGTCTCCCCACATGTGTGCCTGTATTGGATGGTGTGTCCGCCTTCCCGAGGGCTTGTCTCCCCTTGTCTCCCCTTGTCTCCCACTGTCTCCCACGGTCTCCCACGGTCTCCGACTGTCTTCCCACATGTGTGCTGTTGTCTTGTCTCCCACTGTCTCCGCACATATGTGCCTGTATTGGATGGTGTGTCCGCCTTCCCGCGGGTCTTGTCTCCCCTTGTCTCCCCTTGTCTCCCCTTGTCCCCCCTTGTCTCCCACTGTCTCCCCTCGTCTCCCACTGTCTCCCCACATGTGTGCCTGTGTTGGATGGTGTGTCCGCCTTCCCGAGGGTCTTGTCTCCCCCTGTATCCCCTTGTCTCCCCTTGTCTCCCCTTGTCTCCCACTGTCTCCCACTGTCTCCCCACATATGTGCCTGTATTGGATGGTGTGTCCGCCTTCCCGCGGGTCTTGTCTCCCCTTGTCTCCCCTTGTCTCCCACGGTCTCCCTTTGTCTCCCACTGTCTCCCCACATGTGTGCCTGTATTGGATGGTGTGTCCACCTTCCCGAGGGTCTGTCTCCCCTTGTATCCCCTTGTCTCCCTTTGTCTCCCCTTGTCTCCCCTTGTCTCCCACTGTCTCCCACTGTCTCCGCACATATGTGCCTGTATTGGATGGTGTGTCCGCCTTCCTGCGGGTCTTGTCTCCCCTTGTCTCCCCTTGTCTCCCACTGTCTCCCCACATGTGTGCCTGTATTGGATGGTGTGTCCGCCTTCCCGAGGGTCTGTCTCCCCTTGTCTCCCCTTGTATCCCCTTGTCTCCCCTTGTCTCCCCTTGTCTCCCACTGTCTCCCTTGTCTCCCACTGTCTCCCACTGTCTCCCACTGTCTCCCACTGTCTCCCACTGTCTCCGCACATATGTGCCTGTATTGGATGGTGTGTCCGCCTTCCCGCGGGTCTTGTCTTCCCTTGTCTCCCCTTGTCTCCCCTTGTCTCCCCTTGTCTCCCCTTGTCTCCCCTTGTCTCCCCGTGTGTCCCACTGTCTCCCACTGTCTCCCCACATGTGTGCCTGTGTTGGATGGTGTGTCCGCCTTCCCGAGGATCTGTCTCCCCTTCGCGGTATGGTTGGAAGATCGGATTTGTTCCTAACATTGAGCAGATTCAAGCGTGGCTGGTGCAGGTGCAATCTCGGATGTGGGAGGTTAATCACCCTCGTCCTGCTGATGCACCTTAAACTGTTTTGCTTGGTTGCCGGCCACTTCCCTTTGTGGGGTGGCGGGTTTGTGTGGTTGGCACCTTTTGGTGCCCGTTTCGGTGCGGCGTCTGTTTGGGGGCGCTGACATCTTACAAAGTTCTTCTTCCCCTTGTCTCCCACTGTCTCCCACGGTACTGTCTCCCCACATGTGCGCCTGTGTTGGATGGTGTGCCCTTCCCGAAGGTCTTGTCTCCCCTTGTCTCCCCTTGTCTCCCACTGTCTCCCCACATGTGTGCCTGTGTTGGATGGTGTGTCCGCCTTCCCGAGGGTCTTGTCTCCCCTTGTATCCCCTTGTCTCCCCTTGTCTCCCCTTGTCTCCCCTTGTCTCCCACTGTCTCCCCACATATGTGCCTGTATTGGATGGTGTGTCCGCCTTCCCGCGGGTCTTGTCTCCCCTTGTCTCCCACTGTCTCCCCTTGTCTCCCACTGTCTCCCCATATGTGTGCCTGGTTTGTCCGCCTTCCCAAGGGTCTTGTCTCCTTGTCCCCCACTGTCTTCTCCCACTGTCTTCTCCCACTGTCTTCTCCCACTGTCTCCCCACATGTGTGCCTGTGTTGGATGGTGTGTCCACCTTCCCGAGGGTCTTGTCTCCCCTTGTCTTCGCTTGTCTCCCATTGTCTCCGGCTGTCTCCCCACATGTGTGCCTGCGTTGGATGGTGTGTCCGCCTTCCCGAGGGTCTTGTCTCCACTTATGTCCCCTTGTCTCCCCTTGTCTCCCCTTGTCTCCGGAAGGTCTCGGGCAGGAGAGGTGCGTCATTATGGACGGCAGCATCCATGGGTTCGAGGCCATACCCAAGGTCCAAGTAGTGTGTTTGCAGCACTTGGTACTGATCCTCTGCAAAGAATTCCGTGGCTGGTATGGTTAGAAATGCTACTTCGATGGCTTTGTCTCCCCTTGTCTCCCCTTGTCTCCCACTGTCTCCCACTGTCTCCCACTCGAGTCTCCGGCACTTATGGCGAAATGTTCACGATTCCTCTCGTATTTCATGTATTGGCCTATGTTCCTAAATGCACTTCATCAATGCACCTGCTGTTTGGGGTCTACGGTGGTGTAATTTAACCATCCATTTCCTTAAATAATCCAGCCAACTTCACGTTCTCATATCCGCTCATACACTACACTTTCTTCTTAAGCGACGCCTATTACATCCTTAGCGTCTAGAGTCTAGAATAATCAATACCTGCTTAAGCTATGTAGTGGTATTGTTATACATAAGTCGCACAATTACAAGCTATATCACTTAGCTATTCCCGACCTAAGCCGCGCATTCACATGCCACACTATGTAGCTTAGGCTTCTCCCCCCGTCACATCTTGGAAGCAGATGAGCAGGGGCTCAATCCCCCCACCTCCTCCCACCCTGAACCCACATAACCCAGGCCACCCAACGCACGCCACCACCCAACTTATTCCACCAAGTCACTCCACAAAAGCAAACATATATAACTTATATAACTCTACCTCTCTCACTCCACCTTGCCCCTGCTTAGCTTTCGTTCACCAACCCTTGGGACTCAAGTTTGCATCCTTCCGGCTGCTATTTTCTCCCAGGCCAGCGGAAAGCTTGGGAAGAAGACCTTCAGAGCCGTGAAAGGTTCGGCGAGCCAGGCCGGGAAACCCGTCCATGGCTTTGGCCGTGCTTTTTTCCCAGTGCTTTCTAGGGAAAGCATGGGAAAGCCACCAGCATTACTGGGTACCTCAATGAAGTTGAAACCAAAATTTGGACGGCTGCAGAAGGTGATTGATGTTTGCAAAGACCTCATGGTGCTACCTGTTTGTGCATTCCCTGTCTAGTATTGGTCTTTTGTTTTCAGATGGAGTGCTGTATTTCGTGTGACTGTCTCTTGCTTGTTTCTGGTGTGCTTGCCTCGGTATTCCTTCACTTGGTTTCAGCTACTGGCTTCAGGGCTGCTGGATTGTGGTGCTGGCTTCACTCTGTCTCTTTTCATTCTTTTCTCCTTGCAGTCATCGTTTTGCTGTTGCAACTGCTTACATGGCTTGTTTATTTGCAGCAACAACAACTGGCAAGGCAGTGAAAGACGAACAGCAGCAAATGCTACAGCTGGCAGCAGGCTGGGCAGGGGTCGTGGATGCCGCCTCCCATCAAACCATTTGGTCAGTCTGCAGAACTGTGATGCGTGGTGCAGGTGCCAATCTTCAGTTCACCACGGCAGGAAGGTGCTCCAACATGAATTTGTCAACACTTTTGGTTTCGTTGCACGGGTGGACTCACTTTGTTTCATATGTTTTCCCCAACGTGTCAGGTAAGGGTTTCTACGGGCCAGCCGGTCCTCTTCCTCTCCTTTCCTTCTCCTCCGTCTCGTAGGTCGCAGATCTCTGTGCCTTGCGGACCTCTGCACTTAGAATCTGTGGTATATTGGAAATCATTTCAATAGATGTTAGAATCTATGACTAAGTACATGTCAGGACAAATGTCAGAACAAGTGTCAGAATCAGAAACAACATTTACCAGAGCAAAGGGAAGTTTTCCAGAGCAACAGACGGAATACATGTCAGAATATACGTCACATGAAATTGGCCTGATCAAATGTTCAGAATTTGTGTCAGGATTCGGATTCATGGATTGACTCCCCGGTTTTCTCCTCGTTTGGGGTCCTTTTCCCACACTCCCCTGGCACACCTTAGGGGGTGCCCGTCAGTTTTTGCCGAGTTCTCACGCCTCAAGGGAGGTTTCATTCCAACAGCTCGATGTTTTTTCTTCGGATTCATTGTAAAATCTCCTAATGTTAGAATAAATGTCAGAGTATTTGTCAGGAACATTGCCTGTCAGAACAGACATTGATATGAATATGTCCAAATATATGTCAGAATATGTGTCAGACTATATAGACTACACGTCAGAGTCTATGTCAGGGTAAATACATATATATATATATAATATATTTCAGAATATACTTCAGAATATGTGTCAGGATAGATGTCCGAACACATGTCAGACTTGATGCCAGAATGAATGTCCGCATTTGTACACGTTATCATGTTTGTCAGAAGCTGCAGAAGCTTTTTCTTCTGTTTTTCGCTTGGGATCACACACAAAGTCACTTTAGAAGCACATCCCAATCATCGAGATGCATTGCTCCTCCTAGTTGCTCCCGCAACCTAACAGGCAAGGCAGACGCATGGGGCTGGTTCCTGGCAAGGAGCTTCTGCGAAATTCATCAACATTCATTTCCAGGTGGTGAGCACCGGTATCTCTTGAGTCTCTTGAGCTTTTGTAAGGACGAACCAGCCTTGCCTTCGGCTGAAGATGTGTCCACCACTGATTTGGTGATTGGTGTCATCACACATCGATCGCGGCATTTTCAAATATTTTCAGCATGTATCATGGTTTGACAAGGCCTGCTGCAGCAACGATACCTCTGGGTGAAGGCAATTGTATTGCAATTCAATGCAATCGGAAAGCCTGAAAGCCTTGTTTTGAGTAAAACAAGAACACCATTGTGTTTTTGAACTCCTAAAATCGGCAATGGATGGCAACTGAATTATACTGAATTCAAAGGCACACACGAGCTTGATTGATTTCTCGCTTTCAAAGTACTTGAAGGTTGATGGGTCCCCGTTTCACTTTGCATTTGACGTTCTGCATCCTGTTTGAACAATGGCTTTGTTGCAGGGGATGCGTGAGGATCCTTCTACTGCAAAGTGTTTGTTTCAAACTGTAGGCGAGAGTGTCTTCGCTGAGCTCCCGGCGCATCGCAAGATTGAGCTCATGGAGGTACGGGGCTGCTGGCCTGGCCGATTGGCCAATGAGTGGATCTTCCTGACAGTTTGAGACGTTTGAGTGTGTTTTCCTTGGCACTTAGCATACTTAGCATACTTAGCAATATTTGAATAAAGAGGTTGTTTCCTGTTGTAGTGGTTTCTGTCTACGCGATTCGAGAGGCGTGGTCCTTTTGGGATGCAGATCATTCAGGATTCCTTGAGTTCCATCCTTAGTGTTTTCAGTTGGAGTTTTCAAGTCAGTTGACCAGGGGAGAGACGTGATGTTGGCGAGCTCTTGCTTGATCTTGGACCTAGGCCGCTAGAGATGCTAAGTGCAACGAAAGGTGGGAGATGGAAAGGTCACAATGGCGAGATTCCAGCAGAAAAAAAAGATACTAGAAAGTGATCGAGCCGTCAACCAGTTCAGTTTCCGAGTTTGCCATGAATTGTTCAAGCAGAAGAACCATGTGGTAAAGAAATGATTGTGTAGAAGAGAGAGGGAGAGAGAGCGAGAGAGGGCAGACAAGCTTCTTTGCGGTTTGTTCAATCCAGGCTTGGGCTTCCACTTCCCAATTGAGGTAATCGTTGCAGCTCTTTGCTCAGCCCGATTGTGCGTGCTCACTATCTTCGGAAATGGCAATTCTCTGCATAGCATTTTGTATAATCTAGTTCATCTAGTTGCTGTAGACATGAATTGAATCCCACCAGCAATACCCAGCAGGTCTGTGCCAAGCATGGTGGAGGGATCGACCAAGAGAATTTTGTGCGAGTGATGCCAGGGGCATAGGAACTTGTTGGCTGCATGGTCATTGGCTTGCTTGACCCACCGATTGTGACTAGAGGCTGTGCAATACCCAGCACTTGTGGATTCATAAACCTGAAATGCTGATTGAAATACCCAGTGTCATCCAATCATCCAATGTCAGTTGTCGCTCATGTTTGCTGAGGTCAGTGCAAATCAAGCAGCGCGATCAGGTGGGGGAAACAGCGATAAACAGCGTGACTTTTTTTTTTACCTCCAGGATCCTCCAGGTAAGGTACGATATCTGTTGGGTGAAAGCGATGTCTTGCAGCAATCTCTGCCGTTCAGGAGCTTGGCGTGTGGGCTTCTTCCGTGCTTGACTTTGAGTTTGATTTGGACTTCGACATGGACGAGCCGGAAATCAGGAGAGACTGCAGTTTTCTGGCTCTTGACATATTGATATTGGTAATGTTGCTGAATCGTGGCATGACCATCAGACCGTCATTCAAATTGTCACTTAACTGTTAACTACTCTGAGCCTGCGAAACAAAAGTGCGGTATGAGGTTAGTGTTTCATTTTTGCGCTTTTGTTCTTTGTTCGTGCAACTGCAGTACACCGGCAAAAAAGTGGAAGAGGGAACTGGCAAAGGCACCAGTCAGCCAGTGAGAAAGAATGTGCCTCCTTTCGATACCTTGGAGGATTCCCCCTAAATCCCAAAGCTGAACATGTTGAAGTTCAAAACCGGAACAAAAGGCGCTAGACATGAAATTGAAAGCCAACAGGACAAGCAGTTTGGCTGCGACGATTCCTTGGTAGCTTGTTTGACAGGCTGAGCTCAACCTTCGCAGAACCAGCGTGACAGCGGCCTGGAGAAGCTGTTTTAATGCGGCTCAAAATCATCGACCTCTAAATTTTCGATATTTGAATTACCTGAATTACCAACAAATGACAGAGTTTGTGGATGCATTGGTACTCCATTCTTGCGTCGTACCCATAGACTTGGTTCCGTTGTGGGTCCAAAGAACTCAGACAGTAACAGCCGAGTGAGTGCTATTGGAATTCTTTACTTCACACAGGGAGCTTGCGAGGATGTTGCTACATGCTGCCTCTGCTGTGTCACACTGCCACTACAATGGTGCCCTAGAAAGAGTTGAAGTTTTTGCCAACAAGGTAATCAATTCTGATTTTTTCTGCTATTTTGATGCTATTTCAATGTTGGAACTTTGGGAAGCGGTAAACAACCTGCGACCACTTGTCCCTAAGGACAGCCTTTTCCGATGGAGGAACCTGATCTGTACCTCGCACGCCACGGTGCCCTGGATCTCGGCTAGGGCAAGTCTGGCAAGACGCAACCTATCCCTGCCCGAGCCATGGGAGCATTTTACATTCATCAAAAAGCCTCTCTTCCAGGTCGGAGAATATGCAATTGGAATCAGGCAGGAACACTGGTGAAGCTCGGAAAGATCACGCTTAGGCAGACACAAATGGCATGGCAGCTTGCTCAACTCGGATCCTTTGAGATAAGAGCATTTCTGAACCGGTCATCGGAGTCATCGGAGTCATCGGAGTCATCGGAGTCATCGGAGTCATCGGAGTCATCGGAGTCATCGGAGTCATCGGAGTCATCGGCCATCTCGGGCCCTGGATTTCCTATGTTCGGCACACGGGAGGTTGTACTTCGACCTGCTGATGCTGCTTGTGATCGCCTTTGGAGTGAGCCGCGCAAGTTGATGGCTTTTCCAATCACAGACTTGGGACACATCGGATCGAGGGCCAAGGCTTGTAAGGTTTTCTGATATCTTTTGTGGTAGGAGGATTTGTGTGGTCTTTGTTCTTGCCAGGTACTCACCTTTATGACGCTTCCTTTCTTGTTGTAACCTGGCTGAAGTAAGCTGTTACCTGTACTGTCCTGTGTTGATTGATTAGCAAAGCCGATTGGTTTTGGATGCTCGAGATTTGCCATGATATGGCAGTGGGCGGTGCCCTTGCATGAAGCCAGAAGTTCACAGGTCTTTGGGCAAGCATAGCAGCGTAGCAAAGTTTGGGAAAAACACCACAACAGCATATAGTCAAGACAGAAGATTGGGACCAAGCATGCAAGGATGCTCGTCAGTCAAGTGCCCTTGAAGTGACTTTCTAGCAAAACGGGGAGGGACAAAAGCAACAAAAACCAACTGTTCCGATTCTGGAGCTTAGGGCTTTTGGTAACCTTCTCAACAGGCGAAAGGCTTATTTGAATCGATTTATACAGCTATAGGCTATAGCATTCAAAATCCCAATGACTGGACGATTTCAGATCATGAGAATGATTTAGATTAGAAGCTTGAGTACGCACAACTCCAAGTATTCTCACATATTTTCACCATTTTTCCCAGCAACATATCGCATTTTGCACGAGATATAGTTCTGGTTTTCAACATGTTTCAAACCAAATTCCATAGAAATATGTCAATTGGTAGTCCTTTCCTCGAGAAATAAAGGGCAGCTGAGGATGTGTGGTGCCGGCACGGCAGGTGGCCCTGTGCTGGAGCAGCTGGAGTCTCAGTGTCTCCTGTATGAATACGCTGGAGCTTGAGAACGTAAAGAGACTGTATATGTGCATATATATATATATATATATGAAATCATATAATCATATAATCATATAATCATATATATATATATGGTCTCGTGTTCCGTGTTCCTACCCCCCCTCGTGCTATGGACGCTTAGCGTTTATTTGGCGGATAGAGAATATACAAGACTTACCAGGTGCTGCGCGGCGTTTGCTTGACAGCGAAAGGTTTGAGGGCGTGCCCGTCTCTTCATTCCAAGAGCGCTTATGCACGCTTTGGCAGCGAGGTAAAAATATATAAAAGGGAGTTGGTTTCTGCTTGATGAAAGTGAGTTGTTGTCTTTTGACCATCAGTTCCGTCACAGAATCTGCAGTTTTGGGCGCCTCACCTCGCCAGCGCTTTTTTCTAGCTGAAGCCAGAAAATGGCAAATAGTGACGCTGCTGATGCCAAACACGAAAAGTTTGTGCTCCCAGAATAGTTTTGGGTGCTAAAACCTATGCTGATGCAATTCATTCGCTTTGTAGCAAGGCATGATGTAGAGAAGACCAAGCAGCGTAGCATCATGAAGACAAGACCAAACAGCGTAACACGATCTGATGTAAGAACATGAAGCAGCATAACATCAGTAAGAGATGGTCAAGCAGCGTAGTTTGACGTAGGGAATCATGCAGCGTAGCATCATGAGGACAAGACCGAATAGCACAGAATGATACAGAGCACATTAAGCAGCATCACGTGAGGTAGGGAAGCCCGAGAAGCCTAACCGTAGCAGCATGAAGACCAGACAAAAAACTCAACAAGATATAGAGAACACAAGCAACATAACAAAGGAAGGTCAAGAACGTAGCATGAGGTAGGAAAGGTCAAGCAGCGTACCGTCTTGATGACAAGATCAAACAGCATAACATGAGACAGGGAACGCCAAGAAACATAACATACGGTAGGGAAGGTTCAGCAGCGTAGCATGAGGTCGAGACAATCAAGCAGCCTAGCATCATGCAGACCAGATCAAAAAGCACAACCTGATGTAGGGGACATCAGGCAGCACAACATGAGGTAGTCAAGGGTGAGCAGTGTAGCATCGCCAAGGCAAGATCAAACTATCAAAAATCAAAGACCTGATGTCGAAAACACCAAGCAACAGGAGGTAGGGCGGGTGGTCAAGCAGCATAGCATGAAAAAAAACAAAAAGCATAACACGATTTAGGGGACATCAAGCATCTTGACATGAGGTGTGAAGGTCCAGAAGCGCAACGGGAGATAGAGAAGACCAAGCAGCCTAGCATCGTGAAGAACAGATCAAATAGCACAACCTGATGTACACGACACCAAGCAGTTTGACATGAGGTGGGGAGGGTGAAGCAGCGCAGCATGAAGTAGATAAGATCAAGCAGCCTGGCATCATAAAGACAAGATCGGGTAGCCTAACATGATACAGAGAAGACCAAGCAGCAAAACATGACTTTGTTAAAGGCAAGCAGTGTAGCTTGATGTAGAGAAGATCAAGCAGCGTAAAAACATGAAGACAAGATCAAAAAGAATAACGTTGCAAAGAAAACATCAAGCAGCATAATGAGGCAGGGAAGGTCAAGCAGCGTAGCATGAGGTAGAGAAGATCAAGCAACATAGCATCATGAAGACAAGACCAAAGAGCATATGGCGGAACATCTTCGAACATCAAGAAGATCAAGAAGCATAACATCAGTAGTGAAGGCCAAGAAACGTAATATGAGGAAGATAAGATCAAGCAGATCGGCTTGATAAAGAAGAGCCCCTCAAGCGCCTCTACTATCTCGACGCCTCTAGCGCCTCCAGCGCCTCTAGCGCCTCCAGCGCCTCCAGCGCCTCCAGCACCTCCAGCGCCTCCAGCGCCTCCAGCGACTCTAGCGCCTCTAGCGCCTCTAGCGCCTCCAGCACCTCCAGCGCCTCTACATAGCGCCTCTACCGCCTCCAGCGCCTCCAGCGCCTCCAGCGCCTCTAGCGCCTCCAGCGCCTCCAGCGCCTCCAGTGCCTCCAGCGCCTCTAGCGTAGCGCCTCTAGCGTAGCGCCTCTACCACCTTCAGCGCCTCCAGCGCCTCTAGCGCCTCTAAGCTTGTGTCATTTGTGGCTGGCAGCACTCCGGCTTCTCCTGCCCGTGGATGTGCTCCTGAGACCAAGGGCTCCAGCCTGAGGTCCTTTGCTGCCTGTCCTGATCGTTTGCTGGCTCATTATAGCATTTGGTTGTCAGGGTCGTCGGGCGTGGCTTGCTGGCCAGTGGGCTTCTGCTGTTCGTGCTGAGAGAATGGGTTCCCCGAACCGCACTCCTGCCGCTGACCTCAGTTTCTACGCTGTCCTGCGAGCCTCTGGACTTTCGAGGGCAACTGTTTTCGGATCCTCTGGCAGCTACTGGCGCTGCATCGGCTCACTTGAATCGAGCAGCCCAGAAGTAGGTGCAGCGTTGTTTCAGCTTGAAGCATTTTGCACTAGCTGCTTCGATTTGAAACCAGACTACATGGAGAGAAGCTGTCCCGTGTGCTCCGGACCCTGAGCTTTTGATTTGCGAGCAGCACCCGGAGTTGCTTCCATATCGTTCCTTGGATACCCCACGCCTTCGTCTTGTCGGTGAAGGGAAGTGGCAAATGGAAGTATATCTTCATGGTCCGTTGTGGGCTCCCTTTTCAAGAGCCCGCTTTTCTCTTGCATGGCCTTCCAGTGTCTGATGAATGTATCCCAAACTTTGCTGCCGAGTGCCCCCAAGAATGCCTTAAGCTTGCCAGAGTTTGGGATGTATGTGGATTGCTTAGCCTGTTTGTTGAACCTGTCCGTCCAGGTCACGGTGTTTTCCATGCATTCAAGGACTTTTCCAAAGACAGGCAGGTTGGTGACAGAAGGTGACCCAACCTTTCCAAATGGCATGTGGACGGACCCTCCAAAATGCTGCCACAGGGCTCTCAGCTTGTGGCGATCAAGGCATGTGCTCAGAGGGTCTGTCACCGATCGTAGAGATTTTTATCACCAACCCCATGTCACCCCAGAGCGGGCCAGAAGCAATATGCTGCCTTTCAGCTACCCTGTTGCCTGTTTTGAGGATACGCATGCCTATGAGAGCCTGAAAGCTAGCTGCTTGAAACCTACGTTTTGGCCACAGAGAAGTTGTTGGTGACAAGCTTGGTGAAAAGCAGAGGAAAAAGGGAAGGGCTGGGAAGACACTCCCTTGCACTGTTTTTCCTTGCTTAGCACCATTGTTTCAGGGTGATCACCTTGGTTGAATTTGCACTTTGCAGCCACAGCCTCTTGCTTTAGAATCATGGGCTCCTGAACCATGATGCGCGCTTGCTCGGAGGTTGTACGGCCCCGCTTGGACCGCAATGGGAAGCCCTGGTGATAGATGACTATTTTGCATCAGTGCCGAAAGAATCAGCACCCCGGCTGAGAGATCTTTTGCCATGCTCTCACTTGCCAAAGCCAGGAAGGTTTATAAGCAGGAGCAGCTTCAAGGGTCCCCAGAAAAAGGATATAAACGCCCAGACCACGTTTAAAGCTGCGGGAGCTGAAGTCCGTTCATCAGAGGCGAATGCGAGACGTGGATTTGTCCCTGCTTTGCAAAGAGGATTGCTCTCTCTGTGCTTTCGTTGTGTGCTGCCTCCTTGCCTGGAATTACCGCTGACCTGTTGTCTTGACTGGCCGGAAATTGGGTTTCTGTCCTGCAGTAACGCAAGTGTTGGTCTAGTCTGATCGATGGCATGTTCAAGTTGGCGAGCTCTTGCATGGCTGAGGATGCAGTTTCAGTTCATCGGCTGCCAAATGGTGTTGCACTTGAACTGACGTCGCTTGCCTGTGTCACTCCGTCGATTTGCTCGAATGTTGCGGTGACCTACTTGGACCGAGTGCACGCCAGTGATGCCTCCAACCAAAAAATTGCTGCTGCCCAAAGCTGCATGAGTCACTCTGGCTTGCGGTTGATAAGAGAGGGTCCCACACCCATTTGGGCAATGACTTTCAATCGTGGTCTCCTGCGACAGATTGAATCGAACGATGATGATCTTGAAGCTGCAGGTCCAGCCGCTGTCATTGAACCCCTGTCGAAACCACCTCTCATGTACTTTGATTTCGTGGAAACATGCGGACGGGCCGGAAAGGTGCCCTCAGCAATTTGGGTCACTCTGTTGCCCCGGTTTGGACTTATCCCACAGTCTACATAATGATTTAACTTCCCCAAGGTTCGTTGAATGGGTCATCTACATGATTGAAGAGAACCGTTTTCGATCCTTCTTGATTGTCCCTCCTTGCACCAGCTTCTCTCCAGCTGCCCATCCTGCCGTGCGCAGCTACAGTCAGCCCCTTGGATTTGACCGGCTGAATCCAAAGACTCTCCTTGGGAATGTCCTAGCCTTTCGTACTCTCCTTTTGTTGCGTGTTGGGAAGAGATGTAAAAGGCCATGTGCTGCTGAGCAAAGTCGATTGAGCAAGATGTGTTGGCTGCAGTTGTGGGTTAGCCTGCGTGACCAAGGGTTCAGCGAAGCCGTCATAGCTTCCTGTTTCTTCGGCTCCATTCACAAGAAAGAGTTCCGACTGCTGTGCACGGGTGGTCACATTCATGTCCGGGTTGAAGGTTCGCCGACAAAACCGTCAGCTATCTATGTTGATGTTGATGGACTTGCATGGCACATTGGCTTGGCGTTCCACAAATCACTTGACAGCTTGGATGCGCAGGAAAGAATCAGCCCAAATGTTGCTGGCCTTGAAAGTGTTGCAGCAAATGACATCATGCTCACATCCAAGAGGGAAGTTGTTAGAGCCTGGTTCTGGAAGCGTGTTGCACATATCAATGTTCTTGAGCCAGCAGCTGTTGTATCCAACTTGGGAACTGTTGCGCGCTCACACGTGTCTGTCAGGTTTGCCAGCTTCTTGGACTCTGCCGTGTGCCGTGGGGCACTAGCAAAGGGTCGCTCTGCCTCATTTGCCTTGCAGCCAGGGCTCAAGAGTGCGTGTGCTTGATGTATTGCTGCGGATCTTTATCCAGCTTGGCCTTTTTCACCAACCAGGTTGAATACTGCTGATGATCCATCACGAAGCACAGCCAGCCGGGATCCTGTGTCTGTCGCTTTTAAAATCTTACGGAGTTGGACTGTTCGATCTGCTGCTCTCTGGTCTTCGCCGTTTCGCTTCGAATTGGGTCCGGCTTACACTTTTAGCGATTATTGCAACCCGCTTCAATCTCCCCAGCTGCCAGGTCTGCTGGTTCGCTGATTTGCTTGCTTGGATTTTGGCAATTTCCTTTGGTCTCTGCCTTGGACCTCTGTTCTGTCGTTTCTTGATTGGCAGGGTTGGGTGCAATCATTTAAGGCCCCATAAAAGTAGTAAGCCAGTCGCAGTTGCCATGGTTTGCCTTCTGCTTTGTAGCCAAGGGTCATGCAGATGTCGCCTCAAACGAAAACTGAACGACAGCGCTGCCTACAACGTGACGGGACCGCCCTGGTCGCAACAAGGGCAATAAAGAAAAAGACCAGAGACAGAAGGAAGATCTACCTTGACTGGTTCCGATCGTGGCTGTGGAATGAAAAGCAGCTCTCCTTCAGGTTCCTGATCGACCAGAAGCCTTCGGATCCCGAAAGGCTTGCTGGCCTTCTTGGTTGGCTATGGTAAGTCGCTTTACCTAGCTGGAAAGGCGTATGGAGTCTACGCAGAGACCATCAATTCTGTTGCGGTTGAGCGCCCCCTGATCAGGTGTCAACTTACCACTGCCTTGGACCTTGCTTTTGCATGGCTTGCTGATGAGCCCCATTCTCGTCACCCAGCCATGCCCTTGTCAATCATGATGGCAATGGTTGTGGCAGCGCTGTACTGGGGGTGGCCTTTTGAAGCATCAGTTTTGTTGATGGGATGGACGGGTGTGATGAGAATTGCGGCTAGGAGAAGAGACTTAGTGCTCCCTTGCGATGCTGCTCCAGATACCTCCTTCTTGTTGGTCCTGGTCCGTCAACCGAAGACACGGGGCCGTAGCGCTAATCACCAGGCTGCTCGAATCGATCAAGAGGATGTGATTCGTTTCCTGACCTCGATGTATCGAGATGCTGACCGAGAAACGTTTGTGGCCTTTCTCAGCTGCAACCTTGAGAAAAAATGTTCTCGTCACTTCTCAGAGCTTTTGAACTTCCATGCGCAAAGACTGGCAATGAGAAACCTTATGGTTTGGCCTCCTTGGGGTGGAGGAGCCACCTGGCTGCTTCATCAGACCGAGTCCCCTGACTATGTTCGTCGGAGAGGTCGCTGGCTCAGTGCTCGTGTGATGGAAGTTTATCTTCAGGAAACCTTGGCAGTCACGTGCACAGCGAAACTCTCGCCTAGAACAAAATGTTCGGTTCAGTTAGTTTTTCTGGACACTGGCATGCCACCCAGAGCTTGGTACAGTCTCCTCGAGTGCAGATGTTCCTACGCAGAATGTTGAAAAGGAAGGGGTGAGTGGTATCAATTTCAGCCAGACCTGTGACCAGAACAGGCGCTGGCATGATGATCTTTCCCAGCAGCATAACAAAAAGACAGAAGGCGATCTTCCTGACAACAGGAAATCAACTGGCGGCTTGGCTAGCTCAAGCCTCCCACCGCCCCCACCCTGGGCACTGTCTTGAAGGGTATCAATTTCAGCCAGACTTGTGACCAGAACAGGCTGATCTTTCCCAGCAGTATAGCAAAAAGACAGAAGGCGATCTTCCTGAATAAACCCAAAAAGCAACCTTAAATAGCGCCAAACATTAACGAAACAAACTTTAGATAAACCCCGGACCAACCTTAAAGAAAATTTAAACCAACTCCAAGTAAATCCTAAGACAAAACTAAATAGATTCTCATACTTTGATATTTGCTGATTTTGTTGCTGACAACGGTTTCCCTAACTTTTTGGCTGCTAGAATTGAAATTCAATTTGTGGATTCCTCTTTTTGTGGTCCTTCATTGATCGGCCTTCTCTACATGTGGCAGGACTGATGTGGTTCTCAGCACCCTTGCCAGATATTCGGTGGGGAATCTGAACAGGCACGGGGTCACAGCCGTCAAAGTTGGATATTTTGGAGGGGTGCATTGGAGATTGGGACAACATTTTGTGGTCTTCTCCACTGTCGGATGTTTCCAGAAATTACAAGCCTCAAAGGATCGGTCTTGTCGCAGGTCATCGGCGGCTGATGCGACTTCCTTGCATTGAAAATTTGCCATGGGTTCCAAGAATGTGGATAACATCCCCAAATCCAATGGCTTCGAACATCAGGGCTTTCAATGGGGGTTGCCCATATATTTGGATGGTTTCTGGAAAATCCCATTAAGAGTTGTTTTTAATTTGGGGGTAGCCCCATTGTAGGAAACTTCATGGTTCCCATCAAGGCCACGGTGCACATCATGAACGAGTTTATTGGCTCTATGTCGTCGGGGATCCAAAGTTGACAACTTTTAAAAGGCGCAGACATCAAACAGACTCCCACTGTTCTTTTGTTGCTGATTGGTACAGGGTTAAACAGATCTGATGTATATAATCAGATTTAGACGGTTGCAGATTTCTTTGCTTTTCAAGTATGTTGAGCAATGTTGAGCATGTGAGCATAGAGTCAGCTGCTTTGGCAAAACACAGACTACATCACCGCGCAGTTGCTGTCCAAAGCTTTTGATGTCCGCATGGCATCTCACGTTCGACGTTTTTGTCAAATCTCAAGACATCTCACTGCCCCTTCAAATCATTTGGTTCGTCTATTGGCCCCATTGGATCACATTGGATCACATTGGATCACATTGACCGGGAGTTGCAACCGAGGCTGCTGGGTGTTCTACTTCTGTTCCGCTTCGTACCAGACCCAGCCGTTGGATGACCCTGCTGCACTTCGCACGGCTGTTCTTCGAGGTGATCGTGAAGCGAGCAACCTACACAGCCACTTGGCGCTTAGTGCGTTCAGATGAGTAAATTTTCAAGTATGTGATCATGCAGACGAAGCGCTCCAATCGAACAGTGTAAGTGAAGCCGATGTTGCATTCAAGATCATTCAAGATGCTGCTTGTGCTAAACCTTCTTCGAAACAATTCCCTGGCGCAGTCCAATCAGCGGAACCTTTCCAACCTCGCAGTCCAGGCAAGCTTAGTTCGTTGACAGCTTGGCAGTGATTTGAGCAAAGCTGTGGCTCTGGCAGGTGAGGGCACTTCCAAAAGACTTGGGCTATCATCATTTGGGCTACGAAGAGTTGATACGTGTGGCCTTCTCAGCTGTTTAGTTTTATCCAGAAGACACTGGAAAAGCATTGCTACTGGTGCTAGGCAACCACTTACTGAATTTATGTTCGAAAAGCTTGGATATTTTGGTTGGCGTGATGATATGGCATGGAAAGCCATGTGCAACACGGGTCAGAATCTCCAAGCTGACGTTGACATCGCTGCTTCGAAGGAACACTTCCAAACTGTGGCCTACGAGCGTGCTGTCAGGGTGCGTGTCCCACTTGTGACACTTGTGCGGAGCATGTTCTCGTTCAGCTTTTCTGGTGATGTCCTCCGTGCCATTCTGTGCCATCCTTTCCAGATGGGCACAGCTCACGAGTTGGACGACCAGCCGGTTCGCGAGGTGAGTGATTGACCAAGAGAGTTGCATAATGTTGTATCATGGTCGCAGAATCGCAGGTAGTCATGTGGCGAAACTACGAGGGCGCTGTGCACGGTGTTTTGGAGCAGGTACGGTAGTTTGCTCATTTTTACCTATGTGATCTAAACATGCAGCTGCAAAAAAACCGGGGAAAGCATGGAGAAGTGTGGAGCCGCTGTGCAAGACATGGTTCTTTTTGTTCTTGTTTCACTTGTTTCATTCTGTGCAAGCCACGTGTGTGCTGGTGAATCAGGTCGAGCTGCAAGCAAGACAACACTCCATCAACACGGAGCTGAAGTTTCTGGAGCAGAAAGCCAGTGAGGTGCTGTCCCAGACCATCCTAGACCCTCATGGTCCAAAGTCAGAACTGAGTTGTAATGCCACGAAACTGGAATACAATAGTATACAGTATAAACTCTACATATAATGTTCATAAAACTATATTCCGGTGTATCAGCATATGTTTGTATACATATCTACACATACTATACATAATATATATATATACATATAATACATATTACTTTGTATGCGTGTGTGTGTATATATATAGTAGATATACATGTGGCTACATTTCTGCTGGGAGCCCCTGCAGTACCGCCTTTCCGATGAGCTGGAGCATGACTTGGGCTACACAGCGGGGGGATCGTGCCCTGGCGTTCCAAATCAGCAGCAATGCTATTTGGACACTTGGTGCTTTAGGTGTATCATTGGATTGGTTTAAGGAAAAAAATGCAGGAACCCCCCATATCTAATGGTAAAAACCCATGGGTTTCCTGCAGATTTTCCCTTAAACCAATCCAATGAGTGTATGGACGCTGGTCAAAGCATGATGGTCATGTCAAACCCTATCCGTTTGGGGACAGTTTTGGTTTCATGTTTTTCAGCTGAGGGTAGCGCCAACGGCGGGTTCCTCTCTCAGTTTTAAGTCGGCTACGGCTGTTGATGCAATGATCGCAATTCAACGAAAACAATATGACAAGACAACGATGCATGTCAGAAGCCGTTAGAAGGGATTGGAGAGTCAGAAAATATAAATGGAATGGATATGAATGAAATATATGAAATGAGGGACGAACATGCGGATGAGATTGATTGGTGGGAAAGGGTTGGGTTTCAACAAACATGAAGGACACTACATTATACAAGACCGGCCAAAGACTTTGACGACCTCGCAGATTTTGTGTGTCCGGACTAAGGTCGGCGTCAGTCCACCAAGGGTAGACAGACCATGAAGATAATGAAAGAGAGGCCAGCTTCGGGATTGGTTGTTTTGGATATTTCATGTTATTTCTGCGTTTCTGGTAAAGAATCGGATGACACATATGGCACTTCTCAAGAGAAGAGTGTCGTTCCGTGCCACGTGAGATTGCACCTGTTTGTGCCAGGCAGAGCGAAGGGCTCAGATGTTCAGATCTGACTTTGCGAGAAAAGTTTCTGGGCATTGTGGAAGTTGTTGCGGGGCATTGGATGCGGGCACTAATCCCTGAGGTACTGCAGTCACGGGGACCAACAGCAGCCAGAAGCTCATCAAACCAACAACATTGCCGTGCATTGCAGCCTTTGCTGAACCTCACATCCTCTGAGTTCATGAAGACGGTGCTGATTACTCTGCTGCCGGGAACCTGAAGTCATGTTCAGAGAAAATTGGGGAGGAACAAGTGGAACCCAAAACTGCGGTGACTGACCCTCCAGCAAACCATGCGGCAACTTACAGCTCAGGCTGTCACTGCCATGGCTGAAAAGATGTACGACCGCATATGCAGCCGCAGTGACGCCTGGGGCACAAGTGGCAGCGCATCAAGTGCAAGTGCAAGTGCTGTGCTAGTTAATGCTGCAAAGATCTTCAATTGAGTAATCCCATCATATCCCATCCACCTAATATCAAACACCGCTCAGAAACCATGGTTTCGGATGTTTAGGAGGGGATTTACACACATTTTTGGGACCTTTGAGGGGGTGAATATTAGGAGGATGGGATTGGAAGCTTGGGGGGACCTCTTGGATTCGAGGGCGGAAAGCGCCTTGCAAAGCGGCAAAACTACCTCCTTGCCCAGCCCGCTCCTCATTTTTCTGTGTTGAAGCTCTTGGGGACTGCATCATGTATCTATGCACTATGGGCTTGATTCTTGTTGATTTCAGAGTGACATACGAACCTTGGGTATTTACCAAGACTTGGTGTCATGTGAGACAACTTACACAACTGGAACAATCATTTGGGCTCGCAGCCGTGGCCACATATCCTCCTTTTTGGGCATGGTCAGCATGTTCTTGATTGCTAGAAGCTTTGCAGGAATGACTTAATCGAAGAGCAGATTCTTCAGATCGAAACTGATCGAGCTTTGCACTCTGTCCCGCTCCTAGAGCAAGCCACAGACTTGGGACAAGGGGACAAGGCAAAAAGTCCGGTGCATACCAAGCTTTGTTGGGTAACTTCATGAGTGTTCGGCAAGGAGTGTCATCTTGCTGGCTGTCTGGTTTGGCATCAAATGCATGGATTTATTTTGGTCATCTAATGGGGACAGAGATTTCTGACACTAGTCTGACTGTTTCCCTACTGGTGCAAATTGCTGCTGCTGATGATGATGATGATGATGACGACCATGACGACAATGATGCTGCTGATGTGTTCGGCAGTTCGGCAGCACTGAAATTTCAAGTTGAAGCCTTCAGCATGGTAGGCATTTTCTCACTGTGTTTTGCTGTTTCTTCCCATCGTTTCTGGTCTTTTAGCAGCACCTTTGACAGGATCTGAAACCTGAAGAGAGACAGGTGGGCCTTGCAGTCAAGCCGTTTGATAGGCCTTTCAAAGCGTTGGAACCAGCTGTTCTTATTGTTTCTTCATGTTCTTCCGCACAATGTTCCTGCAATTTTGGTGCCTGAAGATCCTCAAGACTCTAGGATTCTTTCCAGGAAAGACTGAAAACCATTTTTTTCGACATGTTCTGCAACTGTCCACTGCAGGTCATGGGTGCCTTTGTTGTTTTTTGGTGCGAACGAACTCGAGATGCAGTTCTTGGTCAATACGGTTGGTCTCGTTTGGAGCTCCAGCCCCTTCTTGCAATCTTCGCCTCTGGGATTTTTTTGGAATCACAGAATTTAGATCAATATGATCAATGGATATCAATGGCTCCTGTTGTCGGAGAATGTGAATCTGGAGGTATCCAAGGGTTTTCCAGCGTTACCGTTAGTTATTCATAAAAGCGTTCTGGTGTCAAGACTTTTTGAGGCTCTTGGTGCTGCCGAGCTTGCTGTCAGCCCCGACGCTTGCGTCCGGACCAATGGTGGAATTGTTTGAAGCATTCTTGATCAGAGAAACAGGTTATACATACCGGATGCCGAGGTGATGCGGCTCTGCCTGCTGTTAAAACTAGAATTCAGAATCGCTGGCTGTTTTCAACTCGAGGCCTGAAGTTGCCCTTCGAGGACTCTTGAGATTTCAGAACTTGGGCGTGCGTTCCAAGCACCGTTCTTTTTTCATTGTCATGAGATCCCAATACAGGAGAGTAGCGACAATTCCGAGGGTCCACCAGATGAAGAAGAGATTGCTCCCATCTCAGCATGTCGCCATTGATACTTCCTAAGCATAGCAACAAGTTGAGAAGGCAAGTGTGAAACAAGTCTTAAGTTTATGGAGTGGTTTGCTCAGGCATTTCCGCTGGTTGTGGAACCTACTCAGGCTTGGGACTTTAGCTTCCTTATGGCAAGGTTGTCGTTCTTGATTAAAGCAACACCTTTTTTGCCAGGATGCCAGGGTCTAGAGCACCCTGAGCACCCTGAGCACTCTGACTTTGTGAGACATTGCATTGTTTGTCCTGTCCACATCATTGTACCATATTGTACCCATCACTAGAGGGACACATTCAAGATTTGCCAAGGTTTCCCCACATTTTGCTGACAGGACCCAAGTCTGCAGCTCTGGCAGAACATGGATGTGAAACCTCTGCTCCGAACTGCTCGGAGCTGCGTCATGGGCGCGGTCAGGGACCTCAGAAGGCTAGGTCAGGGATGT